ACAGAGAGAGAGAGAGAGAGAGAGAGAGAATCTTGTACATTATAAGGCAAGAATATTATTATATATAATATATTATTATGAAAAATGTACACTAGAAAAATTATAAATTCTAAATTTTTATTGATAGAAAGAGAGAAAAAAACTTTTCCTTACGTCTTAATTCTCTAAGGATTTTTTTACATTCTTGATCCATCCATTCTATATCCAATTTTTTCCACATGGTTTTCTTCCATTCGTTCAGAGACGTCTCGATCACGTTCACGTAATCCCAAACCATTTTCAAAAGTTGCATCTCCTTTTGTATCTGTTTCGTTATTTTAAATTCAGGCATTTCTTGCTCAAAAATTGCAATCTGGCCATGCAACTCTGCCTCTTCACTCAGGAATTTCAAAATTTGTTCGCGTGATTCATTTAATTTCTCGTAGGGATTCTTGCACACTGGACTATAAATACACGTATAATAATCAGCCAACTTGAATGAAATCATAAGATATTTGAAAATATATTTCAAATTTTTGAAATATATTTCAAAAATAAGATATAAATATCATCGTTATAGAGATCTTTATCTAAATTTACTTAAAATCTTATAAAATAAATAAACGAAGCATATATGTAAAAAGCAAATTAAAGAAAAATTTTCAAGCGAAAAATTATCACTATTGTTTTTTTGTTTTTTTTTTTTTTTTTACTTGAAAATATCTTCTTTATGGAATTCATCCAAGAAACGTTGTTGTTTAAAATCATAATAGCTTAGCCTCTTCTTCAAAAGTTCGATCTGTCGAGTCATTAAAGGTTGTACGACATGTTTCACTTGAGCGGCTACTTTTTTTAATGTTTCCCAACTGACGGGTAATTCTGTGAGCCAATTGAAAATTTTTTCGTCTATAACCACGTTATAAATTTGTAAAAGCTCTATAGTTTTCTAAAAAATATTATCTTAATTAATTTATCGGTCGAGAGAAAAACGCATTTGTATTTTTATCGCATTATTTTTATTACCTTAATAGGATCGAACATATCTTCGATCTCATACTGGCGATCTCTAACTTCTTTTAGATAATATATGGTTTCTAGAAGCCCTTCGTAATCATCTTCCTGAATGGGACGTGAGAAATTTTCCATTGCCGCTTTCAAAAAATTCGCTAATTCCTCCAATCTAATTCGTTTTAACGAAAAACAAAATTTAAATGATTCGAGTCAATATTTTGCAGGAAAAAAAATGATGAAAGGAAAAAAAAATATATTTTTCTAAATTGAATTAACCTTTAACCTTTGATATTTGTTAACAAACTACGACGATTATATGAAATCGAACATTTATATAATAAACTATTCTAAGTTCAAAAAAAAAAATGTTCAGTGATTAAATTATTCTTCTTACATTGTAAGTTTATTAGAAAATAAAATGAAATTAAATGGGAATGAACGAGTATAATAATTCTCATCGAATCAACGTCTATTTCTTTAATAGATAAATGATCGAATTCTCTTGAATTGTTTATATTGCTTGCGAAATAAGTACTTTGATAGTTTCCCGGAATAATGATTCCGAGCCAAATACACGGTTACGCAAATATACAGAATTAGTGCCAACATCGACCGTCCCGATTATGGTTTCAGAGAAATCGGCTCTATTTGCGGTTAGAGGTTAACATGTGATCCGCATTCATAGAACTCCCTTTTATAGATTACGTGAACAGTATTATGTCTTAAAAAGAAATCATTCTAGAGTTATTGGAAACTTGCTTAAAAAAAAAGTTTCAAATTTTTATCTTTATAATTTATATGGAAATTATTTCTTTAAAATCATTGCTTCTTCTACTTATAACATTTTAACGAGAGAAATTTAATCGAGATTTTATTATTATATTTGATATTTCTGTAGCGTAAGAATAATAATAATAATAATAATACGACAAAATTTAAATTGCAACCAAAGTAAAAATAATTTCTTTTTAAAATTGTAATTGATATCAAATCTATCAAAGTATCTTTAATCTTGTAGATTGAATAAAATAATGTAAATATTTTAGAATTTTATCACAAGTGTTAGTCGATAGTTTGTCCTGGATTAAAATTATTCGCATCAATGTTATGCAATATTATTGTCGATTTCTCAATGAATCGTAACTTAAATTCAAGCGAGGTAACTTGGATTTCTTATTTTTGACACATCTAGAATATTGAATGCATGAAAAAAATCCTTGAAAGATCCTGACCTCGTTTGAGTCTTTTTTATGTAGAATAAAGATATAAAGGTATAAGATGAAAGAAGAAAAATTGAATTACTGAGTGGTAATACGCTTGACCAAATAATCCTTGAGCACGTTGGACCATTTGCAAATAATGTTTAAAAGAGACTGTTTGAAAGGCTTTATATCGAGTCTCAACCATTGGCAAAGGATCTCTTCGTTTTGCAGTTTATCACACTCGTCGTACAAATCATTGAAATAGTCAATTTCCCGTTTAAAGTCTTTCAAATCCGGCTTCTTTTCCTTCAAATTTTCTGGAAGATATTCTGGATGTTGTTCGATCATCTCCCTTTGCTCGGGATATACGTATTGAGCGAATTTCAAAAAATAGGACAAATATTCTTGCTTATCGTCTGTCCACAACCAGGTGTAGTTCTCGTATGTCTGTAAATGATAATTTTAATATGAATAATTTTCATATTATTTTTCTTATTCCTTCGATCGCACGAAAAAATTAGTTGAAAAATTAGAAAATCTTAAATTTGAAATTAATTACGTTACCAGAGCATGCTTTTTTACTTCTGTCAAGGCTAGTTTAACCCGATTACAAGTTTCTTCTAACATAAATACGATACCTTTTTCTTCGGCAACGTCCACCTTCGAGAATGAAGAGGTTCGATTAAAATTTTACACCGTATAAGAAATAAATGGATCATTACATTACAATTTTTGAACTATAACCAAGAAGAAATGTACCGCGTAATTCTCTTGCTTCTCGCGCAATTCAGGATCGACACGTGGTATAAGGATACCCATTTTCATCATATCGAGTAAAAGTGATTCGAAAAAAATGTAGAAACCTTCCGGATCGTCTAATTCCACCGATGGTCGGAAAGTGATATTAGGATTCTTTCGTAAAAGATTAAAAACAAATGTTTTGTTTATAATAATAAAAATTAATATACAATACATATATAATGAAAACTAATAAAAATTTCTCTCGATTATCAATCTTTTATTTCGATAAATTTCCAAAACAAATTTTTCTACATTCTCAAAGGTATTCACCTCTAAACACATTTGGATTTCAAATGAAGGATATATATCGCCTTCAGGATCAGTTTCGTCAAGTATGTAACAAATACTGCGAAAAACGTAATAAATTGATATTTTAACTTTTTATAAAATACTGCGTAAAAGAGATATAATGATGTCTTTGGTAAATCGATAAAATAATTATTAATAACCTAGTGGAGACCGCTTGAATAAGACCTTTGGAAATTAAATTGTCAACATAAGCTAGATAAGGTTGCCATTTTTCACGTCTCATTGCTAACGTTTCTTCGTCGACCTCCTCTTCTTCTTCCACTTGTTCTTCTTCTGCTTCTAATAATATGTCTTCGGGTATTTCCTCCTCCAGTCTATATAAAAAAATTGATATAAATTTCTGTCGATCATTTAAATTTTCAATAATTAATTGAATATAAAAAATATATAATGATTACATTTTATCTTCTTCTACGGAAAATATACAATAAAAAAAAAAAAAAAAATACAATTTATCTTACTTTGGAATCTCAGGTTCTACAGCTTCTTCGGCTATTGCTTTCTCCAATTCTGTTTCCTGTTTCTCTTGTACAGCTAGATAATTGGAATAAATAATTCAAATAAATCAGGGCATTTATCAAAAAAAGTTCGTTAACTAATTATAATAGAAATGATAGCACAATTACTCTCTAACAATTCCAAGTCTTCTCTATCATAGAATTGCTCCGGGAGCAAGTCGAAAAATAATTTATAATTCTCCTTTAATATTTGTTCCAATTGTTCAGCCGTTGATTCGATTTCCGCAAATCTTTCCGCGAATCTATCATCTTTATCGATTAGAGACAACAAATTCTCATCCCTGGTATCTTTACGATAAATAACTGGTATCATCGCCCAGCTATACATATTATTCATAATATTTTTTAAATTATTTTGGGCACGGAACAATCTGCTGTGTAATTTCCAAATAATTTTTAACAAATTATCGATGTACTCCATAACTCCTAAATAATAATTTGTTCGCACATTATGTAAATTATATTGTTGAAATATTTTAAGCATAATTTAAAGTAGACTCTCTACCTTCCGAATTCCAATTATATTTTTCTTGGCCATCATCGATTATACTATCAACGTTCGTAACTTCGTCTTTTACCAATTGAAATTCTACCGGAATGCTTTCAGTTCGTATTCTATTGTACCTGAATAAACATATATCATGTAATAATCGAATTATTTTCCAAAGTTTTTTATCCAAATAAAACTACTCGATTGATATTCGATCAAAAGATATAAAGATATAGATACAGAATATTCAATAAATGAATATATATATAGCTTTAATTTTTGCAAACATTTTACTTGCGTGAAATAAAAAGCGAATCGATGTATTGATCGAAAATATTCAAGACTCAATAAAGATAAACATGCCAAACACGTATGTCAAATTGGCGCTTCATCGGAAGACTGCTCATTATCGTGGGTGAGGTTTACATTTCAAGTAGGAAAGATAATCTTAGATATAATATAATAGTATAGCCATAAAAGTAATCATATAAAACTACCGTTGACAATTCATCTAATAAAGAGAAAGTTTTACAATCTTTAAATCATCACAATGATCACACCTTTTTCAACATTTTGCTGTTGCTGTAATTAATTTTATAAACATTTAATTCAAATACACCACGTATAGATCTGTTTATTTTATGTTCGAAAAGAATCATCTTTAGAAAATATTGAAATAATTAGAAATCATTAAGATTTGATAGATTATTCAATACTCTTTCATTAAGTAATATTCTTCTATATGTTTCAAAATTATATCATTACAATTAAAATTTTCAATATAATAAATAATACAATTTTAAATTAATTCATTTAAAAACAAATTTTATGATTAAATAAAGAAAGCGTAGAAAATTACATAGAGTTGAAACCAATTACTTACCAATTTATTATTAAATTCAACTTGTAAGTACTATCGAAAAAGAATTGTGATCTATTGTAAAATTCTATGGCATCTTCGGGAATATCAGGTTTCTTTATAATTGTCATATAACGGATTTCTCTCAACATAGTTTTTAATTCTTGGGCAAAATTTGATTCTAATAATCTATCGTCTCCAACTTTTAAAAGAGTTTTCAACAAATGCGTTTCCCAAATTTCTGGCAATTGTTCTTGCCAAGCGGTGAATATTTCTCTTTCCTTCTCATCGATAATATTCTTAAAAAGAGAAAGATATCGTCAAAATATCTAATCTTTTTTTTTTTTTTTAACGAGATTATAAAGCAAATGAAAATGATAAAACTATGAGACATTCACATAAACAATTACGAATGTGTAATTCATATACATGTATATGAATCAAAAATATACCATTAAATATTAAAAATTAACTGATTTGTTAGTTTGTTTATTATTCCACTATTACCATTAATTTCTCGTATTTACTTCTATGTTCGCTCTCCATTTTTTCGGTAATCAAAGGATGATCGATAAATCTGATACAATCAACCGGATAACGAGTTCTGTGACGAAGTTTCACTAATAAACACAGTGATGCAACCACCGGAGGCAAATGTATATTTATCCCGGTTTGCTTCTTTTCCTCAGGGAATATGAAATTTTGATCGAATAAAACCTGTAATACAATTATTATGAGCTATTATTGTTATTAATTATAAATTGAAATTAATGATATAATAATACAATGATTCAATCTTACCTTTATTTTGTCAAAATGTACATTTATTCTGGCAGTAATCGTTTCATAATTGTGCCAGAGTTGGCTCATTATTAAAGGTCTATTTGCAATTGTACCCATTATCCATATAAATTTAAAATACGCCTCTAAATTGTGACATTCGGCGAATGCCTGATCGAAAATGCTCGCCAATTTTCGATCATATTGTTCTATCTTTCATTCCAATGATTATTTTCATTAATCAAAAAAAAAAAAAGTAGAGATAAACAATTAAAAATTGAAATAAATAGATAAAAATGTTTATACATTTATACATGTTGAAAATATTTCTGGAGAAATTATATTCTATATTTCTTGTCGTTAAAATTTGTACTTTTTCTTTTTTTTTCTTTTTTTTGTTTTTCTTGAATAAAATTATTCAATTTTTAAGGATAAGAAAGGATAACTTACTTCCTTGAAAAATTTCTGCAAATCTTCACTAAATTGTTCTTCCTCGGGCGTTAAAACTTCATAAGGCAACTCTCCAAAATGTTGATACAATTTAAGAAATTCTTCGTAAATTTTTTCAACCATAGTAAGCAACGATTTTCCTTTCAAACCAGCAATTTCTATCCTCTCTAGTTTGAAATAATCTTGTACTGTGTCAAATAACGACTGTATAATAAAAAATTATCATAATTACACTTGTTACGTATACAAAATAGCCTATAATTCATTATTAGAACAAAAATTGAAAATCAATCAAGATTGTCAAGATTTAAATAAAACAAATTATAATTTATAATAAAATTATTGTGTGCGATCTGATGAAAAAAAATACATGTATACATAATTATTTTTGAACAAACTTCGATTTCTTTAAGTCTCTTCTCAAACAAGTGAATTCTTTCGAGGACTAATTTCTCGTGAAAATTCCAAGGTACAGTCTCCGATTTGAAATACATATCTATCCGTTCCTTATACGATCGAAATAGTTCTTGATAATTAGTAAGATATGGTAATACTTCGGCAATCTTCGCTTTATTATCATCAATGTCTCCTTCGAATAAAGTTGATGGATTTATATATTTTATTGCCTGTAAAGATATAAATGTGAGTTCATCAATTTAATATAATGATAATGATAAATATTACAATATTATATTTATGTTACACGAATTAAACGTACCTGAGAAATGATCAAATTTGAAATTTCTCGTAACAGAGCAATAACTCTTTCGAGAGTATAGAATCTCGAATTAGCCCACATTAAGCAAACGCAATGCAACAATATTTTTACTTTTGACAATATATCTCTAAATTCGACCGTTTCGATATCTTGGAAATAACTCCTCAGAGGCTTTAAATAAAGATTGATATCTCTAGTTTCTAATAATGCTGAAAAAATTCGAGTAAAAGTTATTTAAAAAATAGGAAATATCGATATCATAATTTTGCCTTACTATTTGCAACTTTTCGCTTACCCGCGGTGACGTTGTTCACTAAATTTTTGAAATATTGCGAGTAAGGACTTTGCGTTTTCTCTAAAACTAAATCTATCTGTTTCACTTTTGGATCTTTCAGTTGAAAATAGATGGATTCCATATTCTTTAATCTCATACTCCAATAATCCAATTCTAAATGAAGCGGAATAAAAGAATAATTGTTTATTAAAAAATAGCGTTGCCATTTAAAAAAATGAATAAAATGATTACCGGATATAGGAATTTTCCATCTTTCGAAAATTTAAACTCTTCGTTAAGAATCTCGTTAATCTGAGTCGCCCATTTTACCACAATTTCTTCTATATTACTCTTTACTTTAAGTTGTTTAGATATGTCCACGTCGGTATAAAATTTTGGATCCAAAATTTCTTCGATATCCATCGGCATTGGTAGCAGAGTTTTTCCCGTTATTTTTCCTCTAACCTAAATTTTTAAGTTTCATTCATCTCGTTTCAATTCGCTTGGGATAATTAAATTACCTATACTTATATATTTCTTTTTTACCTGCCATATTAAAGTTCGAAGATTGTATACTTGCTTTTTGACATCTTTACGAACTACTTCCGGCCAACCAATATGATTTTTTGGATTAGATAGCATAGGTACGTATGCCTGGAATTGGAAAAGAAAATGAAATAGAAATTTTCGAAAATGTAAATGGAATGTAAGGAAAAATAATGTTTGAGAACCTGCTCGACGAGCACGGCTAATTCCTCGATCGGATTCGGCGCCATGTCACCCGGTATCAACAATTGTTTGTAATTATCCTCGGTGATCACTTGGGGTTTCTTCTTGAAGAAGTACGTCTGCTTTCTCTTGGCTTGCGTTATTTCGAGTAGAGGTATCAACACATTGGCGGGTGTCAATTGCAACACGAGAACCATCTCCGATGGGGTAGTTAAGAACTTCATAATTAAATCCTGAACGAAAGTTGAATAATTCAGTCATTATTGAAATAACGAACAAAAGAAATTCATTTTTAAAATCTCCTTCTTTCAACGATTATCTCTATAGAAATCGAAAGTGATATAATGGCCACGCTATTCATTCAATGCTCTTCGTGCGATGTATTTCGAAAAAATAATGGACAAATTTTAAAAAAATGAATTGACAATTCTCACGCGAGAACGATCAACGAAATTGCGAGTAAAAATTTTCGATTCATCTATTTAATTAACTTCATCACATCCTTTGATAAATCTATCTTATTTATATAACATGTAGTAAGCAAAAAATGTTTTTAAGAAAATACATTATAAAATATATTTTAACAAGCATTTTTTCTCGTCGATCAGTATCATGTAAATTATAACGAAATCAAAGATTTATTAATCGGACAACAAGAATTTCGTTGCCTTTAGTCCAGTACGATCGCGTAATTGAAGTCAAACTGACATTTCCTTTACGAGGTTATTTACAATGGTATTAGATTTATTATCCGTGACCTTTTAGATATCTAATAAAAATTTAGATGAAAATCGAAATGAAAAGTTTGAACGAAAGAAACTTGGATCTCTTACATAATAGATATGTGACCGAAGAAATTGAAAGGTATGCAATAATTTAAATAAAATATTTGATTAGTTTTTCCAGCTGAAACATGTAAATAAAATGGAAATTACCTTATATTCTGCATGTGCCAACATTTTCGTCCATCTATCGATTTTTAATTTCCTCGAAAGCGTAAGATAATTAAACATATATTCCAATCGTGGATCCTCATCTTTTTTCTCATCATCCTTTCTCTCCATTTTTTGTTTACCACTTTATTTACTACCTTAAATCTAGCATTTCTTGTTATTATAATTCGAATACGTACTTTATCATATGTTCGTACAAAAAAAAAAATGACGATTCATATAATGGAAAAATAGATATCTTCAGAGATTTCTTTTGTGATATAATCTCGAATAAATTCACACTATTTTTAAATCCAAATATAGACGATTTTCAAATCGTTCTTTTGTTCTTTCAAAGTATTGAATTTTAAAGATTTTGTCTAATTAACGGCTAATATCTACGATTATGTAAAAATATCGAAACGAAATATCGAATGCGTTAAACAATGAAATATGAAATAATTGTTTAGTGTCGAGTAACGTTAAAATGTTTGACATAATCAAATGTATTAACGCTCTTCCTTGTAACTAGTAGATCTTCGATCTTTCTATTTGCATCGAGATGTTAATTTATTTTCACTTCTTTGCAAATAATAAAATATACAATATGTATACACGTATTTATTTTGTAAATTCCTATGTTTTCGCAAGTATATTTCAATATTTTTTATCTATAAAATTTTACTAGTGATACTGAAACTCATGATTAATATTAATTCTTACGTCATAAGTAACCATCGACAAACAAAACAGAATATAAGTATTTAAATCAATATATATACACACTTTTAAAGATCAACTACGACCTAATGATATTTATATAACTGGTTGAAAAGTTGAAACGTAAGATCTGTAGCCGTACTGTAGATATGTATGTTGCGAAATGTTGACAAAAAACGACGACATCTATTCGGAACTCAATTGAACTAAACCGGTAAATTTAGTTCCATTAACCTTAACCATGAAAACTTAAAAAGACGCATATAAGAATAAAAAAAATTAAATATTTTCCAATATGTATTCTCTGTTAAAAGATACATATTAGTTTTAAAATTTGTTAAATTTGTCAAAAGGGGAAAAAAAAAAAAAAAAATAGAAAGATTATTGAATATTTTGGATTTCGACGAGAGGGTCAAGGCGAAAGAGCAAATGAATCTCGGATCAATGTCGAATGTTCCTGGAGAGTGAGGAAGGGAGCTCGATTCGGGAGTGGAAAGCGGCAGGTGTTCCGGGTTAATATTCGTAGCGAAGAGGATTGTTTTGCAACGCCGGCTCTCCGGCCAGCTTACGTGCGCCCATGCTTGTCTCGTAATTAGTTTGACTTTCACCGTGAGGGCCACCATACCCGGCACCACACACTTTCGCTCGTCTTCTCCTCTTTTGCCTCTGGAATTACGTTACGGAGAAAATGCTTGAATGCGCCCATAGGAATTTAGGCCGATATCAAGGACGTTCTTCCGACGTAACCTAGCCAGATTCGAATCGTCGCCCGATCATCCACTCATCCGACTCACCAAATATCGTACAAATCTTTTTACGATCGGTGACGTACGAGCCGCTGCGCATCCATACTCGCTTGCTCAATATGCTTTCGCGTAATCAGACTTTGATTTGTCGTAATCTCTTGGAACGATCTATGCGCACATTTACAGTTATTTAGTATGATGATCTTTCGATCCGTGGGTCATTATCCTTTATAAAGTTGCAAACTGACGAGATGATTGATTATAAAAATAATTCGAAACAGTTTGATTTATAATCTATCAAAAAAATGCATTGAAAACATGATTACGATATAGGAAGGAAGATTAGAATAGATTTTATATATATATATATATATGGTTAGGAAACATCGATCTGTAATATGCCGTTTAAACGTAATGGCGCTACTTGCCACACTTAAACTTTCCTTTAAATATTCGGTCCTATATAAATACATTACCAATTTTATACCTTAACTTTTCTCACTTTCATTCGAATGAAATTTTATCTGTTTTCGAATTCAAAGGTTTACGTCTTGAAACTAAATTGTTTCGCATATCTGAATTTCAATTGGCGAGTGGCCTACCTTACTCGACTAATTTAAACAAAAACGAATGAAGAAACGTAAAAAATGAAAGTAGTAAATTACATCGTCGATAGAATCTCAACTACAACTCGATACAATTCGATAATGATCTAAGCGAAACGCGAAAGCGTTTATATTAAATTAATTAAACTAAAATAGACGAATGAATGAAACGGATCCTTTGTTTACGCTTTCGATCGCGCCGCTTGAATAGCGCCAATTCCCGCTACAAATTTCGCTTCTATTATACATACGAAAAATCTAGGGATGCCATTAATAAGATCAGGGTTACGTAGCCCCCTGAACGAAGATCGTCCGATCGATGATCGAATAAGCGAAGAAAGAGGATCGAGGATGTTCCTTTTCCCCTCTTCGGGCCCGTATAAAAGTCCGAATGTGTCGATCCAGCCGACACAACTGTGAAAGATCGTCGGTGAAAGACGTTCTCCTTTGCGACATCTACCTCTCGGTCGCCGCGAAATTCAACCATGTTGCTCCACCTGGTGAGTTGTTCGATTCCTTCTCGTCGTGTTTCTCCTAACTTCTCGTTATTATCGTTAATTGGCTATCGTCGATTGCTATTGGTCAAAGACCTAATATGGAGTTCAATTAGGGGTAAACACTTTTCCTCTAAGACTGACCGTACCTTTTCTAGCTTCGTCTTGGTGATTAAATCAAAATAACAAATGGTTATCGAATCTTTTATTATATTCTATGAAAATTGTGTAATATATTAATCATTACTGTGAATTTTTACTCACATCAAGTTTTTAATTCACATGTAATTCCGAGTTATTAATTTAAACATTCGAAATTTCGTACGACGATAATTTATTGGACGAATTTTCAGTGGATACAGTGAAAGATCTAATTGTAAAAATTCTTCGAACAAATTTGTTTCGTAATTTGTGCTCAGACAAAAGACAATAGATATATCTTTAACCACTTTATTTGTAACTCATTCTTTCGGAATCAGTGATTGTTGAACTATTCGGATGATTCGATCTCTTCCGGAATTTGTTCACTACCGTATGTAAGCTTTGCTTTCCCATCATTCTACGTAGGTATGATTTATTCGAGATATAATTGATATCTTTATTTATTATCTTATTATGCATTCGTTAAATTTAAAATTGAATTTTTTTTTTTAATTGAAAAATTGCATTTATTTAAAAAAATTTTTTTATTTTTAAAATAAAATGAAATTAAGTAAAACGTATAAATGTTTTTTGGCTTAAAAAGTCTGTTTATTATTGCGTTTGTAAAGTCAAAGGAAATCGAGCAAAAAAATATCCTATTTAACTCAACACCCAACTTCATTTTCCGCTCTAAATATAACAACAGAAGAGAATTTATTCGAAAACGCTGAAAGAAATTTATTATTTCGAGGTAACGATTTCTTTATTCAACTTTTCTTTGATTAAAAACTTTGATCACACTTTTTAACACATTTCTAATGAGAAAAATAAATGAGAAGAATTTCATATCTATTTCATTCCATTCTTTATGATGAATGTGATATTCGATTAAACATCAAAAGTAATAATATTTTTATTAAATCAGCAATTTTTAATGCTTCTTTCGTTATATATAGATTTTTATCTCAATATATTTCTATATAAATAGATCAAGGAATGAAGATTACAATTGTTTTAAAATGTTATGCAAACATTTACGAGAAGAATAAAGAAAAAATTAATAGATCAATTTAAAAAAAAAAATAAATAAATAAAAATAAATAAATTGAAAAATGTATAGATAATTCATCGAATACTATAGAAAAAAAAAAAAAAGAATCGAACGAACTCTTAAATTATCTCTAATAAAAAAAAAACATATATATATTATATATTATAAAGTTCATCAAGGTAAGATAGCTAATTTTACATTGCAAATTACGGTGCATATTTATAATTGACTATACATTTCCCATTTATCTCGATCAGTGAAATAAGGAAGAAAAAGTTCATCGACGTCGAACGCACGTGTATCTCGAAACGAACGAGTGAGAGAGGAAATTAACGACGATGGTCCACTGTTCAATTCGAAAGTAACCGAATTGTTTTCACGAAGAAAGTCGATCGTGTATTCCGAGTGCATCTGACCAAGTACAACCCAATCCGTATATACACGTACTTACACGTGCTAGAAACGCAGAGAACGTTGCTTTCGCAACCAATTTTCTAGCGTGTTAAATTGTAACGCTTACGTAACGCTAACCTCACCATCCTGTGGATGCAACGAGGAAACTAAAATTCGTGGAAACTGCGTCAGCGGATTATCTACGCCTTATTTTAATTTTAACTTCGCTCCATTCACGAACCAATTTTTCTTAAATAGTGGAAAATAATAGAAAAAAAAAGGATTAATAATTTTAAGGACGGTAAATGACGTGGGAATTAAATTCTACGATAAACGTGTTTAACGATTACTTTCGAAAATTATTTCTTTGTTAATCAATGTGACATGTAAAGATCAATTTTGTTTTTTTTTTTTTTTTTTTTTTTAAAGTATCTTTCGATGAAAACGTAATAGAGAATAATAATTAAAAAAGAATAATAAATTTAGAAAGCATGTTTACTCATTTTTATTCATTTAATATCGCGTAAAGAATGGAATGAAATAGGATGAATAAAATGATGAAAAATGTAAACTTAATTAGAAGATCCAAGTAAAATATCATTTGTATGATAATTAATTAATTAAATGTTTGAAAGAAACGCATCGTTGTTACAATTTAGCGGTTATCTATTTTAATTATAAAAACTATATATAAAATTCGAGTTGCTACCGAATAAATTATTCAATCAGTTTCGTAATCAAGCCAATAAACAGATAATTACACCTTCTTTCAAGAAACAATACTGCAAATTCTCCCTTTGAAAGAAGAGAGGAAAAAACAGAGCGAGGAAACTGGGGAAAGGGGAAAGCTAAGAGAGTAAAAGTAAAAGGTGCTACTTATTTTTTCATATCTATTCACTGGAAATAATTAGATAGTGACATCTTAATTATATCGTCGTCTCTTTGTTCTCTCCCCCCCTTCTCTCTCTCTCTCTCTCTCTCTCT